CAATCTAAGGACGTATCATTAAAATCGGTTATGCCACTTAGTAATTACGAGGGAATACCTATAGGATCGAACAAACAAACATACATACATACATATAGGTAAAATACATAACCCTCCTTTATGCTTTGCCACAGTCCGGTAAAAAACAATAAATATTACTTTGAAGCAAAGACATTTAAGTAGAAGTAAAAATGTACATATATTTCATATACGTATTAACGCTTGGTTGTAATTATGCAATGCTCTAGATTTCGAAATATTTCAAATAAACCAGTAATGTAACTTGTTTTAAATTAAAACAGCACCCAAAAAGGAGAGCAAAAATAATTGTCTTTCACTTATTTTCTGAATAACTTTAAATATATAGATCAATGACATACATATTATTTTACCTATAAAGTATTTTTACTTTAGTATGGTTCTACTACTATATACTATACTTACACAACTACAATTTAATATGTACAAGTAAAATTAAACTGGGTGTTTATAATTTTGAAATAATATTTTTATTTATTTTTCTAACGCTGCGTTCAGATTACCTCAAGGATAGACTAAAATTATAGCCCCATCAGAATTAGATCCAATAAAAGCATTACAAAATTAGAGTAGTTTTGTCTACGGCAAAATTGCACCAAGTACCATAACATACTGTTTTTACGTTTTGGCAAAACAACTGCAGCAGTTTTAATACGAGTAGATGCCCTGACCCACTGCTGGTTATGAGCTTGTTCTATGTATAGTATACTAATATGTAAAGATAAGTTTTTTGTTTTTGTTTGATCAAAAGTGCTAATGTCTGGAACTACCAGACCAAATCAATATCAAAAGAATTTCATTTTCGAAATTTTAACTTTTTCATTTTAGCAATGCTATGTTATTTAAGTGGCTCAAGCCACCGTTTACAATTAGTCAGTAAGTAACTGAGTAGAATCTGTACATTAAATATTTTTTTTTAAATGTTATTGAAATAGTAATTACTATCGATACAGAGGCCGAATCTAGTTTTTAGAAATTTCGTCTGTCTGTCTGTCTGTGACCGCATCACAAGAAAACCACTGGACAGATTTTGATGACATTTGGTATGTTGATAGTTGGTTCTCTGAATCAACATATAATACTTAACGAACAACACTTGTTTACTGCGGGTAAATATCTCATCTCTGAGAAATCTATACTAAACGTTAAAACGTAATTAGAGACGAAACCGAGCGGAGCGAGGGTGAATCGCTAGTTAATATTAAATACAAAAGTGCTTGCGTGTGCGGGCAAACCGTTGTCCTTCTTCACGTAACCAAGTCGTAACGGCCCGATACGTGTATGTCTATACAGGCTACTTTTTAAACCGGTACTTAAGGTAGAATCGGTGGGATATTAGTATAATACAAAAAGTTTCATTTGAAAGCTTTGACCCTGAATGAAGCGACTTCTTGTATGCAGTAAACCATAAATTATTATTTATGTTTTTGATATATTTTATTTTATACAGTCAAAAAATGATTTTGTTAAAGTATTTATAGTTTTAAATAATAATAAATGACATCTAATCACATGGCGTACATATAGAAATCTCTTAAGATCTGGAGCATGACCAAGCAATATAAGCATCTCTTTACTTAGATAACGAAGCGTGGAATTCAGAACGAAAATTCAAAAATTAGAATCAGCACAAACGTAAATTGTTTAAAATGCTCTACAGTAGACCGATTATTCCTTATATTTTTTTAAATATAATAGTACCTAACAAGAAACCTACATTTTAAATATTTACCGACTTACACTCTTTCTTAATTTTGAAATATCTTAATTAAAAATATCTTCTCAAGGGTTTGAAATATTCTAATTTAGATTAATATCAGGTACATTTAAAATTGCATATGAAAATGGTGTTACATATGAAATGCCCTACATATTGAAATTGGCGTTTTGTCGAACTTGACCACTTTGATCTCAAATATTTAGCGCTTGGTTAGGAATTCCAAAATTAAATTTAAATCCAATTTAGGAATGTGTACCTATTTGTGTTTCAATTTTAGTGATTCATTTGTTTTCGCGCCATTTGATTTTTCTTTAACATCGTTCTATACACAATATGGAAAACTTAAAATATCGCGTTGTTTACGAATACGAGTTCCACCGTGGCACCAGCGCTGCGGAAGCAGCTCGAAGGATAAGTGATGTATACGGGGAAGCCGGAAGCTACTGTAAAATAAAACACGATTAGTTTTTGGTTCCAACCACTTCGTTCTGGAAATTTTGACCTACAGAACAAACCCCGTGGACGGCCGGACACCCTAGTTGACAATAAAGAATTAAAAGTGATCGTGGAAGTGGATCCATTGCAAACCACATCAGAGCTAGCGGCAAGCTTCGGTGTGATAAAATAATTTTAATTCACTTGAAACAAATTGGAAAAATAAAAAAGGACGAAAAATGGGTACCGCATGAATTGAGTGAAGCACACCTACAAACACGCGTCGAGTGCTACGTTACATTACTCAATAGTCATGATAACAAGGGGATTTTAAATCGTATCGTTACATATGATGAATCCTGTATGATAATCGGAAACGCTCATCACTATTGTTGAAAGTAGAACCCACGAGAATCGGCCAAATCCTGCCCCAAACGAAAGTTGACTCAGAAAAATATACTGGTGGTCTGGTGGATCAGTGCTGAACTCATCCACATCTTTCTAAGATCTGTACAGAAGATTACGCAGCAGATCAGATGCAGATCTGTATTGTCAACAATTGCAAACCATGATGGAAAAGTTAGTCGTTAAGCAACTGAGACTGGTCTGAACTGCGATTGGAATGTCTCGGACACCCACCATACTCGGACCATGCTCCAAAAGATTACCACTTTTTCCGGAATTTAGATAATTTCTTGGAAAAGAAAAAAAAAATAATTCCGATGAGGCAGTCAAAGCCACATTCAGAGATTTTATTGATTCTCGCTCGCATATTTTTTTTCAGCAAAGGAATTAATTAGCTACCTATAAAATGGCGAAAGTGCGCAGATTACAAATGGTACATACCTTGATTGATTAAACATAGGCTTTCATATACTTTTTTCGTTTTGCTTTTTCCATATGAATTCCATACAATTTCATATGTAAGGTCCTAATATTTAAGCTGTGGTACATACGTACCCGAAATTGATCTAGCTAAAAGCTAGATCAACTTCGTGTACGTACATAAAGGCTGGCGACTGGCTGTGTAACAGTGTACTTTGTTAGTATTGCTATTGACAATAGTGGTTAAATTGACAAATTTAACCTTCTCCTCTAATATTAGGTATTAGTATTAACTGCACATTTTCTGCAATACTAGTCCAACACTAAAGGGCATTTGTCGTTCAAAAGAAACTTTGTTCACTGAATTTAATTTTTCAATGTACTTATGATATTTATATAAAAATGTAGATACGTTTGCATTTATTATTTGAATTTTATCAAGAGAATACTTTTAATAAATAAGCAATATCTATTACAGTCATGCGCAAATAAATAACTAGGATATCCCAATCATAAATTATATCCTTTATGCTTAATAGTTTGCATTGTATTATTGCTTAAAATATTGTTAGTAATTATAAACCTATCTATTGGTTTTATATAAGTGAATAGTGACTTACCCTCGCTCGGGTTCGTCCCAAGTTGCTTTCCTTTGCTTAAGGGATGATTTCCGGGATAAAAACTATTCTATGTTCTTCTTAGGGTTTCAAACTATCTTCAAACCAAATTTCCTCTAAATCAGTTCAGTAGTTTCGGAGCCTATCGGTACAAACAAACAAACAAAAAATCAAATCTTTCCTCTTTATAATATTATTATAAATAACCATCAATATTTTATTGAGATGAGATTATTTTAAATGACGCCTAATTAGTAAGGACCACTATATACAAACACAAACAACTAACAAAGAAGACAATCATGTAAAACTACAAAATCATTCATTTATATCTTTAGAATTTCTGGTCAATATTGTATCCGATGAATCATCTCTTTGATGGACTACACTATCTTTTCCTTTAGGCAGCTTTCCATTGTGGAAAATATGCATAAAGCACGCTACTTTCATTCGCTAATGGCTTCATTAAACACGTGAAAGATTTTTCGGATACAGCCCCAAGCTTAGATCGATTGTGTTCATTTGAGAATATTCACGAAAAGTTCTAATAGCTATGATTTCGACAGTAATTTTGTAGCTTCTTGTTATTTTAATAGTTGAGGAATTAAAACTACCGGTATCGTTAAGTTACACAAAAATTAACAGGATGAATAATTATTATAAAAATAAAAGTAATAAAGACAGTATAAATTAATACAATAATTATAGAGACAAAAAATAATAAAATATAATATTATTGCGTAAAGTAACCTTCTTTTTAGAAACTATTAACAAATCAAGTAGCGCCATCTGTTATCAAGACTGAAAAACATCACAACCAACGAAATCTAATAAGTTATTGCTGTCCTCGGTAGGTGGCGCTTTATATTCAAATAAAACTTATATTAAACCATTTACATACAAAGCATCTATAGCAAAAATATTTACATATTTTTTATAAACCACACGTATATTATAAATAAGTATAGTTGATAGGTTAAAGGTCGATTGCAAAAAGCCAGTCTAGCGCGTGACCTTTCCGTTGTAAATATTACATAGTATGAGAATAACAAATTATAATAATTTAAAATAAAATTTTCCTGAATTTTAAGTGTTATAAAATTAATTTTATACAGCTTAAATAATAGAATAGGCAAACCAATTTGAAAACCGATGGGGTCATAATAAAAATTACCATTTCTACAATTAATATTTTTATACCCGTCCGTATTTACCAGACAGGTGGATAAGACCGTTTTATCTTTTATCAAGAATCCTGGTTTTAGTTGACCCTAACTAACTACTTTTTCTATATTACAAAAAGATAAAATATTAAAACCTGCGTCTAATGCGGATAAAATGGTTATTTAGAGATATAAACTCACCTTTGCTAGTCGTGAGTGTGTTAGGTCTCTGCGCAGGCACTCTATGTGGAACGGGTTTGCGAGGCGAGGGCGGCGGGGCGAGGGAGGTGCGCGCGCGCACTGCCACAGGCGACGACGACAACTTTTGCACGACTCCATTTTTCTTAACTGAAAATTTTACATAACACTTAATGAGTTTGTAATACATGGTGTATTTTTAAAGAAAAATGTCATATGTTGTCTAATATTTATTATTTATGTAGATACTTATTCTGTATTATCATTGATCTTAGGTTAAATTTACTAACCTGGCACTGCCGGGCTGGCAGATTATAATATATTATTTTAATATGGTAAGCATTTATATTTTAATTCAAAATAATAAACTTAGCAAATATACTATATTAGTTATTACTAATTACACACACACACACACACACACACACACACACACACACACACACACACACACACACACACACACACACACACACACACACACACACACACACACGCACACGCACACGCACACGCACACACACACACACATATTTTTACCTTATTAATTATTATAATTAATGATAGTATGAAATGGAATTCTTATAATATACAAGCGGCTCAACCTATCTTTGCTCGGGTTCGTCCCTAGGTACTATTTAAGGGTTAGTATGGAATAGATAGACTATATATTGCATGATATATAGTCTATAGCCTTCTTCAATAAACAGGCTATCTAATGCAAAATAAATTATTCAAATCGGATTAATAATTCCTGAGATTAGAGCGTTCAAATAAACAAATTCTGCCTCTTTATAATATTAGTATAGATAAAATATATTAAGGTTATAAAATAATTAAGGTTATATTAATATGTATGTTAAGTAAAAAAATATTTAAAATAAACACTAAACATACCTATATTATATTCAGGGAGGTAATCCTTTTAAAAGATTGAACTGATATAATTGAATATTGTCAGCTTAACAATCCTAAGTTTAGATTCTAAACAGTAACTTACCTACATCTCTTCACGTAAATAGAAGGTTGACATTACGTTTTATTCTCAAAGAAGTAAATATTTCACAGAAGGTACATAATCATAGTATTTTATTATATAAAGGATGTAAGTTTAAATAAACTCTTATGACACAGTTACAAAAGATTAAAAAAATGATTTCAACACGAAATCGCGTGAAAGAGGGTTCAATACATTAGAAGGGTCCGATTCATAAACTTAGGGTGTTCGTTATATTTTTTCTGTCAGCTAGGGGATGACCCTATATTCCATATTTTTGCCCTATACTTTTAGGCTAAGTTGTTTGGGAGCTAATTGTTTACTACTTTCGTATAGTGCCATTGACGCACTTCTTATAGTCATTGGGTTTTTATATACATATATTTCAACTTTTTGTGATCAATGTACACGCAGATCATAAGACATCATATAAGCGACCCAATAAAAATCACGTTTTTAATCAGATATACGGAACCTTAAATAGTGTTCAATTTCAAAAAATCCATTTTAAGCTATTACCATATCATTATACGGTACGATACACGCTATCAAAAGTTAAACTATTTAACGGACAAATCTTGGCTTGAACAAGGAAACAAGAAACTTTATCTTCTAATAGGTACATACATTAAGAAGATTCTAAGCAAATAGAGGTGATGTTTGTTCTTACGTCACGATACATATTGTTATATTCACAAGTCACCAAATGAAACTAATCAAACTAGTTACTCTTTGACACACTTTTTTAAGGACAACCTCTGCAGGCTATTGTTTATGAACAGTCGAATTGCGAAACGTGTAAGAAAATATGCGACGTAGATTCGATACGCCAATAAAGCATTGATTTTATATCTCCTTGGTCTATTGGCTAACATATACGTCCGCAGATCCAAACACCTTGGGTTCGAGTCCCGGGTAGAGCCAAACATTGTAATTAGATTTTTCAGCCTAGAAATTCCCAGTCACGTTCGGGAATTAGTAACGTAGAGGTTTTACAATCTCGTACTTCAAAGAAATCTTAAAGTCGTTCGTTCCTACGCCTAACCTCTCACTGTGTCATGTCGAATTATTGTCTCGGAATCAGTCAACATGACATTATTATGGGCGTAAGCCCAAGCGACTTTTCTATACTTATTTAACTTTGGCTTCGCTCGGTTATTATGAATGAAAACCTAATTTTATTTGCTTACATCCGAACCCTCTAACTCCCAGGAAAAACCCAGTCATATTTAATCTAACTCCCAGTAAAAACCCAGTTATATTTAATTAGTCTGTTCTTCCTTCATCTTCTATCTTACAGAACGTCTTTTTTTTCGAGATAGAGATTGCCATAAAAACTCAAGCATTGAGAGATGAGATTTATGAGATATTTTATTTTATTGAGATATTAGTTATTTGAAAACTACTACTATCTTATTTCTCTTAAAATTAAAATAAGTGATTATAATTTTCTTAGTTATAAAGCTTTCATCTTCAAGCTGATTTTCAAGCTAACCTTATAGACCTCTTTGTTATATCTACATCAAGAAGGGATGACTCACCGGTGGCAGGTGGGGGTTGGGGTGCCGGAGTAGGGCGGCTCGGTGTCGTAGGCGTCGGGGCGCTATCCCGCTTCTTCCCATTTCCTGCAAAATAAATGATTTGAATTATGAATAACTAAACCGTTTTGAACTTCATCTTTATAAAACAAAATATAATATCAAGGCTCTCCCGTGATGATTGCTGTAAAGCATTCGAAACATCGGGAAATAAAAATCAAAATCAATCCGCGAAAAAATTTGAAAAGAGAGTTTTATTTATATTATCATGTCATTGTGATTCTTACATTATTTCACTACATATACCTATGGATTTTACTCTTGACCTTCATTAAAAATTGTCTAGACGCTACGTCATTATTCATATTTTATTAACCCCTTTAAAAGAAATGGCGTATGCATCTTATTACGCCGTTAATATAAACGAAGTGGGTGAAATATACAGATATACTTTATAAATTATAAAGACTCATAAGACTTGTTTAAAAATAAATTTGTTTTCGGCATTTTTCATTTTAGCGTTTAGGAAAATTTTATGTAATGCTATTTTTATTCACTATTTATATTCCCTCCACGACTGCGGACACGCCAGCGTTACAGTTAACAATAGATTTCTTCGAAAAATTAAAATCTTAGATATTTATTTGGAGGTGACAAGACATTTTTATTCACTAACATTTTCGCAAGTAACAAATCATTGATAAAATAACCAAGACAACCAAAGTGTTGAAAATTAAAACCGGAACAGGTGCAACGATATGATACCAATATAAAAATAACAATCTAATCGAAAGTGAACCAGATGCACTAGTTTTATGTAACTCAATGATACTTTCGAAATTTAGCCTGAGCAAAATGTATGAATAAGATATATGTAGTAAGTATATAAGTATGTTGAATAATTTGACAATGACGTTATTGTTATTTAACGTATAAAGTTTCTTTTTTTTTTGCATGTAAACTACGACTTTATTTGGTATTCGTCTCAGAATCTAAGCTCAATAATAATTCAATTTTCTCAATTCTTTATTATGATTTTAAGCTGTGCCAGTTGAGCATAGATTACTTTGCAAATGTAGAATAAAAACGTAAAATGGAAAAGACTTGTGGGAGATTGGTAGATAAAATATGACGATTAAAGTATTTGACACCTTAACGTAACTATGTTTGCTATAAATTATAATTATAATTATTTAATATCTTTAAAGTTATAAATAAATATACCTTTTGCTCTAGGTACGTTTGTCGTTAAGTTACCTTACTCTACTAGTTGAGTGGTAGAGTAGTTGTGTCAGAGTTGAACTCTTTCTGTTTGCGTCGAGTAGATTATAAGAAATTACTGTTACAGACAAACAGTCAAACACGAAATGAATCTTAAGTATAAGAGTTTCATTTTATTTACAAATGTCGAAACCCTATAAAAATAGTAAAAATGTTTCCATTTATTATAAAACTCTTCTTTCGGATTTTTTCCTGGATTTATTTTGATTTTTGGTTCCCGAAGTTTGGAATGCGTTACAGCAATCATAGTCAGCAATATAGTAGAGATGTGTGGTTTTAAACGTCTCAAAGCTCATTATTTATACTTGTTACAAACAGTGCCCATCCACAAAACAAAAGGATTTCAAAAATGACACCAAAGTACATAATATGTATATAATAAAATTAAATAAATAATATTGCCATATTCAATTTTAAAACATAAAAAAAATGTATTTAAAATGTTTAGAATTAAAATTAACGAATATTGTAAGGTACTTTGGTACATTGTAAGGACGCTTGCTGTAAAACATTCGTAATGTGGTCGCGAAAAAATCCGAAAAGATAGTTTTATAATGTCAAACACATTGTAAAGTGTACACTAACATTGTAGAGAATAAATTGGTAATTTGTACTCTTGTGTAGGGGATAATTTCCAAAACTACGGATCCGATTCTGAAAATTCTTTCACTAATAGGAAGAAACATTATCGCCGAGTACTATATGCTATTTTTTATCCCGATAAAAATGTGTTTATTATCAGAAAACTATAAAAATTTGAATTAAAGTCGGAATAAATCTGACCGTTGAGATGTTTTATCGGCTACGAAACCGAAACGAAACGAAGCCAAGTAAATTATCTAGTTTAGTATAATTCTATAATAACTTGTCCCAAAAACTACTACATATTATCGAGACAGCTCCCATACCTGAAGCGAATGTACACGCAACGCATGTGAGAAGACGCTTACACAATAGCTTGGTGATAAAAAAAACTCCGAGAATATTTTTCCTTCAACGACATGCAACGATTATCACAATCTCGCCATCGCGACAAACGTTATGAAGGAAAGTTAGAAAAGTGTTAGATATATCATTAAGCGCATATATTATAAGCTACTTTTAATAGGCGCACGTGAACGTCATTGAATATTTCAACGTGGCTCATATAAGATTTCTGGAAGAGATTACTTGCGCTCACACGCAATTACAGCTTTGCTTGATTTGCTATTAATTTGGTATATAATTTAGTCTTTTAGTACATTAGTACTTTGGCAAACGTCAAGTTTATTTTAGTTTCTAAGCTTGAGACCTACAAACGATATGGATAAATAAGTAGAATTAACGCAAACACCTTTAGTAAAATATTTTTCGAGAGATTAGATATTGGAGTAAGTACTTCTTGTTTATTTTTTAATTATTTGTAGCTATAATCGACTTGTCAATTATCTCTTAGGTTATATGGTGGCACTTATCACAGTACCTAGGTCCTAATGTGTATTTAACAGATCTCGATCAATGTAATTATTTCAAAAGGGAATTTATCATTAAAAGTAAACTCAAGGTGGTCCGTTGAAATTCACAAGGTAGAATATAAATAAGGTAAAATTAACTGGTTCTGAAATTAATAATGACAAAATTTGTCGCCTTTTTTTCTGCAATGTGATAAAAAAAGAAACTTATGAAAATAATTTAAAGATTGTTTTGAATGACAGCATTACAAAATAACTAAATTACAACTTGCCCAGAAGTAATTTTAAATATTTACTTTATACATATGTTTTGTAAATACACGTCATTTGATTATTAATGTTATTTATAACATTAAATATAAACAATCAATCAATTTTGTGTTGCTACAAAGTCATCCTTATTTCAATAAATAAGTAAGTTTAAATACAAAACTTTATAGATTATTTCTAACCGAAATCCTTTTCAAATGAATACTCACCTCTAGCACCAAAAGATCCGAATCTCTCACGATTCACAGCTATCTTATACTTTTTTTCCGCTTTATCATTAGGGACAGGTAATTTGGACGGATACTTTTCAGAACCACTTCTGTAAAGTTTCTCTTTCGACCCGTGTGCCCCCATCTTCAAGATCTTCATTAAAACGGAGACATCGCATAAAATTATTTTATAGTTTTTAGGAACTAGCCATTTATCACTTGTATCACATCACTTAGTTGCTTACAACATCCTTTGGGTCATTTGTGATTTTCGTTATCAACTGCGCAAGTAGACGTAGTTATTCATCACTTATAATAAATAATTCACTTATTTGCACTACTCTAAGCAATTAAAATATGTATTTAAGTACGAGGGTCATAATGGTGTCATAATGTTAGATTAGCCGAATAATATTAATTAGGTATATTTAAGAGAAGTTTCACAAGCAGTTTTTACCGAGGTATGAAATGAGATAGATAAATATAAAAAAAAACGTTTGATACATCATAAATATTACTTACACACAAGTTATTTTTTAATTTTGCTTTTATGTGGGTTGCACCTAACATGTGTAAGGTATATAGAATATAGATTTTTAGTCAACAACAAAGTGATATACGCTGATATTATTATTGCACCGCTTTCATCTATTTCAGTAGTCGACTCAGTGGTGACCAGTTATAAAGACACTCTCCACTTATAAACTTCTATTCAACAACAACAAATATCGTCGTGGTAAGCAGCAGTCGGCGGATCAACTTTATGTGGTAATTTGAAGCATTAACATCACTGCTAAAGATGATCGCTTTCTTAGAATGAATGCTTAGTCGTTGTTTGTGAAAGGCGTTTATTTCAGTAAATACTATCAATCTACTGTAACATATAGTATTGCTGAGTCATATTGTTTATTTTAATAATACCCACAAACATTCAATTAATTACAGTTTTTATTCGTAATTCTACGAGTATGTACTGTTATTAAATGTTAACTGGATATTAAGTTAGAAATAATGTAAACTTTTACTTCGACAAGTTAAATAGAGATTGAAGCAAAGTGTGACCGTAATAATATACGTAATCGTGAAACGGACATAAAACGGGATACGCAGTTACATTATATAGTGAGAGCAAAGTAGAAATAAGCTGACGACTCAATTTCCGATCTCAAATGACTAGCTGTCCAGCCAATGGAAAAGCTTATTAAGTTGGACGTCAACGGTTATGCCTATACTTTATTAGCGTTTAAAGTTTATAGTTTCATTTTATCTCCCGACGCAATAAAAGGGGTGTTAAATAAGTTTGACGTCGATGTCTGTCTGTCTGTCTGTGTGTGTGTCTGTCTGTGGCATCGTAGGTCTCAAACGGATGGACCGATTTTGATGTGGTTTTCAAGGTTTGAAAGCCAGTTTCCTTGCGGTGGTTCTTAGCTTGTGTGGTTAATATCGGTCCAGCAATATAAGAGCATCAGCTCTTTTCCAAAATGATGTAAGGCATTTTGGCGTATGATTGTGCTTCACGCGTGCCAGTGTAATCGTTAAATGACATTAATTTGCGCAGGGTTTTTTTTTAATTTTAAATTTATAATTATTTTTTATAAGTACCTAAGCGTCTTTCAATCAGCGACTTTGAATCAAATTGAATAAAAATCAGAATTAACTTGATAAGAAATAAAAGCTTCCCCGGAACTCATCAACGTACATAGGTATAAAGTTTAAAACCATACAAGTGGTTTGACATTCAAATAAAACAAATACCAAAACTCAGTTGAAACAAATATCGTTTTACTAACAAAAAGTGCAAAAGGACTCACTACTATCCTCTCCCATAATAATTCGTATTAGTCACTGAAATATAAGCAAATGTTACCACTTCTCA